AGGAAAAAAGGTATGTATCCGTCTTTATTTTCATTTTTAAAGTCTTCTATCTTCATGTTCAGTTTGTACTTACAAGAGGATTTTTTTTTAACTTTCCTTTTAATCACTACTTGGTCACAGTACATACTGATTATTTTCATCATGGGGAGCTGGTATGTGGACGTAGTGTGGTTATTTATTTATTTAGTTTGTGTGTGTGATTTATTTATTTATTTATTTATTTGTGTGTGTGTGTGTGGCCAGCTCAGCCCACCAGGGGGCAGGGCTGGCTGGCATGTGGTGCTGGGGGATTGAACCGCGGTCCCTGTGCTCCGCCAAGCTTGTTCTAAGTAGGTGCCTCAGACCACTGAGCCATCTGACCAGCCCGTGTGTGTGATTTTTGATACAGGGTCTTACTATGTAATTCAGGCCGGCCTTGAATTCACTTTGTAGCCCAGGCTGGCTTACAACTCCAAGTGATTTTCCTGTCTCGTGCTCTCGAGTTCTGGGATTATAGGTATACAACACTACAACTGGCTGTTTTTAGGTTTTAGGTTTTTTTAATTTTTAAATTTTTTTTTTAATATTGGGGATCGAACTCAGGACCTTGCACTAGCGAGGTTGGTGCTTATGCTTCTGACCTATCTTCCTGACTGTTTTTAATTTTTTGAAGATACCAGCAGATGTTTCTAAAACCAAGAGGCCAATGAATATAGGTTTTGTAGGTATGTGTATGCTTGAGTTAACTTTATACATGGCTGTACTGCATGTTCTTATGCTGGTCATTTGTATGGAAATTTTCTTTTATTCCTCCCTTTAATTGAAGGCTTTCTGGAGTCAGGCATAGTGGCACACACACATTGTCCCAGCTACTTGGGAGGCTGAGACAGGAGAATCAGTTGAACCCATAACATGGGACAAGCCTGGACAAGACCTTGTCTCTTAAAAAAATAATAATAGGGATAAGCAGATTATGGTGGCGTATGGCTATAATCCCAGCACTACAGAGGCTGAGACAGGAGGACTGCCACAAGTTCAAGGTCAGCCTGGGCTACAGAGTGAATTCAAGGCCAGCCTGAACCACAGTGAAATCCAGCCTCAAAAAGACAAAAAGGGGGCAGGGAATGGTTAGGTTTAGTGATCTTGTTTTTAGGTTGGCCATTATAATTCCCCAGTAAGACCTTGATTCTTGAACCTTGGTTCTGAAATTGTTCCTGTTTTGCATTATTATTAATAAGAATGCTTTATTTACAAGTTAAAATGGTTGTTTTAAAAACTGTAAAATTCAAGATAGTTTTATTTCATGCAAATAAAGGATTCAGTAAGTTGAAGTATTCTTTGATGCATAATTATTAGCGTTTGTCAGTGAGTACTAATTTTCACTTCACTTGGTAATTTACTGTTTTCTGTCTTTAAAACTGAAAGCCAAGTCTTTCACTGGCTTAGTCATACAGAAAAGCCCGTATGTGACCCACTGATATTACAAAGATGACTCAGTTGCTACTTATTCAAGTGACTTCCTCATTTGATTCCTAGATATCTTCAAACTATAACTTGGGTGTTGCGATTTGGCCACCTGCTGACTTTAGACATGCGCTCTGCTACCTTGGTGCCGTGACATAATGTACTCTTGTTCTGTGCCTTTTAGCTTTAGAAGAAAAAAGGAGAAAAGAAGCACTAGTGAAAAAACGAATTGAGCTCAAACATGACAAGAAAGCAAGAGCTATGGCCAAGAGGACAAAGGATAATTTCCACGGCTACAATGGGATTCCTGTTGAGGAGAAGTCAAAGAGGAGGCCAGCGATGGAAGGCCATGCCAGCCAGGAAACAGAGCAGGAGCGCGAGATGGGCGAGGAGGAGGACTTCTTGGAATACAGTCAGGCCGAGTCAGATCTGGAGTACGAGGAGGAGCAAGAGCCTCCCAGAGCAGAGAGCAAGCCAAAGGCCCCCCTTAGAAGTGCCCCGCCCCCCATGAACTTCACTGACTTATTGAGGCTGGCTGAGAAAAAACAATTTGAACCAGTGGAGATCAAGGTGGTGAAGAAAACAGAGGAGCGACCTCTGACTGCTCAAGAACTTAGGGAGCGAGAATTCCTAGAACGAAAGCATAGGAAAAAGAAACCGGAGACAGATACAAAACTACCTCCAGCTGTATCTAAAAAGGCGCCCTCTCAGAAAGAAAGTGTGGGCCCAACACTTAACAAAGTTCCTGGGGACAGATATCCTTCCAAAGGAATGCCCATTCCTCATCCTGAGAAGAAATCCAGACCCAGCACAGCCAGTGAGAAACCTTTAGCTTTGCCTGCATCCAAATCCATCCCGGGAGAGAGGACCAAGGCAGGATCTGGCAGCAGCTCCCAGCCCTCCCTTCGCGAGAGCCATGACAGACCTGTTTTCAATGGGGTTGGGAAGCCCCACTCCAGCACCTGTTCACCAAGTGTCCCAAAGACTTCTGCTAGCGGGACTCAGAAATCTGCTACTGAGCACAAAGCCAAAAAATTTCCTCCTTCCCAACCTAACCATTCCAAACCTGGACCCACGGTCACTCCCCAGAGTAAGGCTAAGGGCCCAGGGGTCAGGCAGCCAGGCAGCACCTCCAGCTCAGCCCCAGGACGGCCTGGTGCAGGGACTGCTCGGCCCACGCTTAGTTCTGGCCCTGTGCCCAGGCGCCAGAATGGCAGCTCTAGCTTGGCTCCCGAGCCATCCGTTAGTGGGCCTAAGAAGCTGGCCAGTGACTCGAATCCCTCTGGGCGGACAGTCAGTGGTACAAGTGGTGCTGGGCGACCTGCACACTGTGCAAGTGGCCCTGGACGACCCATCAGTGGCTCAGGCAGTTCCTGGAGACCTGTGGGCAACTCTGGAGGCCCTGGACGACCTGTAAGCAGTTCACATGATCGGCGACCTGTAAGTGGCTCAGGGCCCCCTGGACGGCCAGTCAGTGGTCCTGGACGACCCCTAACTGGCTTAGTTCCAGCGGCAAGGACTGTTACTGGTTCGGGCCCTGGGCGACCAGTGAGCAGCTTAGGCTCTGGGCGAACAGTTAGCAGCCCAGGTCCCCCTGTAAGGCCCAAATGCACTGTTGTCTCAGAAACAATTTCTTCCAAGAATATTATCAGCCGGCCCAGCAATGGACAGATGAATGGAATGAAGCCTCCCCTGTCAGGCTACAGATCTGCCCAAGGTAAAGTGGCCTCTTACCCTAAAGAATGTACATTTGTCACTAAGAAATTGGGAAGAGTGCTTCATTTTATATAACCAGGGACCTTGCTAAACTCATGTGCCCTTTAATGTACTCACGTTGGCAGTACCTGGTATTTTGTTTGCCTTGTACTTGAGCGTTCCTTTAGTGATGGTGGCTTGGAAAGCTTTAGAGAGGGACTTAATGTAGGGTCCTGAGTGTTCACACCTGTGTTGTCCCAAATACATTAAACAACTTTGTCATTTGTGAGATAGGGTGACTCACTCTTACAAGTCTTAATTCAGTTTCAATTTTCATGAAAAAAGATTATCTTCAAGGGTCAGAGTATAATTACAAACTGAAAGCCTTTGGTTTTCTGTTTGTGAACTTAAATTGTTAAGCATGTGTCACGTGCCAGGAGATGTTTTAGATGGTCCTTGTGTTTCTGCTCCTATAATGGGCATTTCAAGGTCCTAACCTCTGGGCCTATAAGTCGGCTGTTGCTGTTCAGGGTTCTGTGTGGTGGTTGTGTCATGCTAGTAGGCAGTTGCTAACGTACTGTGCTTGTTAAGCACCATGGAGAATATAAAAAGAAACCAGTGAAACTCCTTACAGTTTCCCAGTTCAGCTGTACCATTGATTCTCTACCAATAGCAATTTTCTTTCCTCCTCAAGGGGACATTTAGCATTGTCTGGAGGCATTGATTGTCACAGGCAGAGGGCAAATGAGGTGTGCTAGTGTGGAGCTAGTGGGTGGAGGCCAGGGAGGCTGCTGGCAGCGCACAGTGCCCAGGACAGCCCCTGACATTAGTGTGCCCAGCAGAGGCCCGAGCGGGGAGCCAGGCTGGCATGTTGCACTTAAGAAGAACAAGCATCTAATCAAGGAGTGGACAGTAGTTCCCAGATGTTGGTCTTTTGGTTAATGTCTATCTTTTGCAAAGTGTGTTAGCGGAATAGGAAAAATAATACATGTTTTTCCTGAAGTCAAACTTTACTCAGTTTAAACAATTGCCCATAATTCTGGATATCTCTTTTACTTTGTTGGATCTTATTTTTGAAACTAAGCCTCCTGTGTTGTCCAGGTGGCTTCAGTCTCCTAGGCTTAGGCGGTCCTACCCCAGTCTTCCAGCTGGCTGCAGTTACAGACATGCCCTGAATCTAAGCTTTTCAAATGCTTCTATGATGCTCAGACTTAGAAGGTGCTGCTTTTGATGGTTAATAATTCTGTTGCTTGGAGCTTTTACTTTTTCTTTTTGGTCTTTTTGAGACAGGGTCCTGCTATGTGGTTCAGGCTGACCTTGGACTCACTTTGTAGCCCAGGCTAGTCTCGAACTTGTTCCAGTCCTCTTGCCTCAGCCTCTCAAGTGCTGAGATGAGCCACTATGCCCAGCTTGATACTCCATTTTAGAAACTACTGATCTTTGAAATTCCTGAAATATGGGCACTACTAAGCTAGAAAGTATGATAAAGCGTTGCTAATAAGCACTGGAGTGCCTGGTGCTGGGCTTTATGGATAACATGCACAGCACTTTACTTGAAATTATTTTAAAAATGACATTGTAGAAGGGTTATGTGAGGTTCAATGTAACGACACCATGCTGAGGTGCAGCCTGCTGTCGTCTGCTTGCTGCAGTGTGAAGGCCACTGTCTTTTTTTTTTTTTTGTATTTGAGGGAAGAGTCTACAGGGTGTTCAGGGTCTCACTACTAGATTGGACTCATAGTGATCCATCTGTTTACAGCCTCCCAGGAGCTGGGATTACAGTGTGCACCACCATGCTCAGTCTCAGTTGCCACAATCCGCTGTGCTTTTTGGCCGAAATTTGAGGAGTTCTTGGAGTTTTTTGCTACTTCAGGGTGCTTGAGGCAGGTGTGGTGCAGCTTCTGGAGCTGGGACTTAAACCACCGTATTATGTGCCTGACTGCATTTGCCCAAGTGGTGCTTTAAACAACTGAGCTATCCGGCAAAGCCCAAAGGGCACCTTCTTAGTGGCATCTCCTAATCTCAGTTCACTAGGAGTGCTGGAAAGACCTTGAGATTTAATGTTCTTGCAAATAATGGTTTCTGTTTGTAGGTCCTCAAAGGCTTCCCTTCCCGACTGGCTACAAAAGGCAGCGAGATTATGAAGAGGAGGAAGAGGAGGATGAATATGACTCAGAAATGGATGATTTTATTGAAGATGAAGGAGAACCTCAGGAAGAAATATCGAAGCACATTCGAGAAATTTTTGGCTATGACCGAAAAAAGTAAGTCTAAAGAAGCTGTAAATATGACATTCTTTTTAAATAATTCATATTATGGAAGAGAAACAAATGTTAACAACAGTAGAGCCATTGAATACAGAGGGATATAGCTCAGTGACATAGCACCTGCCTGGCAAATTCAAGGTCCAGAATTCAATTCCCAGTATAAAAAAAATTACAGTGGATAATTAGAAATCCCTGGCTGATTGTTATTTTCAATAGATTTACTCTTTTGACAAGTTAATATTTTAGAATTCAGAAGTCTGTGTAGTTATTTGCACAAAGACCAGAAAGTAGCCCTTTTCAAATGTTGCCCTAACAAGGTAGATTAGAAGAGAACGAGAGAGCTCTGTGTGCTAGCTGGGTGGGGAGTCCAGAAGCCATTCGCGTGTGATTGCTACTTTTCTGTCTCTGGTGTGAATTTTGCCTCTCAGGAATGTGGCTGGGGGCAGCACTGAGAGACCTGAGCAGCCTCCCAGGCCCTGCCTCAGGCCTCTGGAACCCAGCTCTGCTTTCTAGGCTCCCACACACTACAGTTTGAGAAGCACTACTAGTGTTAAGACGAGGATTAGACGTTCCACCATTCCACTGCTTACTAGCTAGATGAACTTGAGTAAATTGTTTTTAAAATAACATTTTGGAAGGGTTAAATGAGGTTGAGTATATGTAAAACAAATGAGACCTATCACAGTCCCTATCAATCAGTAGTTGCCCTCAGATGCCCCTGAACATTCGCGTGTGATTGCTACTGAGAAATTGGAAAGCATCTAAAGAAAGGTCATAAAAAAAGTAGAAGACCTGCGCTAAAGATCAGATCTAAAAATTCAGTCAGTCTGGGTGGTGGAGCCCTTGCCTAGTGTGTACAGTGCCTGGAGCGCAATCCGTAGTGCCACACAGAAAACGTGGAGTCTGCGCTGCATGTGCCGATGGGCGCCAGTACCCCACTGCAGAACTTCAGACACAGGGAGGAGGATTGCAAGTTCACAGCCAGCCTGGGCGGTCCAGTGAGACTGTCAAAACAACAAAAACCTGGGCCTACCCTGCTGTATGTTCTTGGGTAAGCCATTATCAAGTGAATGTGGCTGAGTTGAAGCATTAGTAGGTTAGTAAATGTTAAATTCAGGAATATTCTGAGGGCTTGTGAATTTGTCTTCAGGTATTGATTTTGTTTTTTAAATGAGAATATACAGTTCTTTACAAAATTTAATGCTGGCCTTTTTTTTAACACTTGGATTTCCTTCTGTCAGGTACAAAGATGAAAGTGATTATGCCTTACGTTACATGGAGAGTAGTTGGAAGGAGCAGCAGAAAGAAGAAGCAAAGAGGTAAGTACAAGCGTGCTGGCATAAAATGTCCTAAAAGTTCTTTTCTGTTCATTGGTGCAGTTGTAATCCTGCTGGTAAAGTGTATGGGCTGCAGACCAATGCATTTGCTTTTCTAGATGTTTCCCCACCTCTTTGGACAAGGATGTATATGTGCTGTCTCATGGAAGTATTGTGGAGGTGAAGACAAGAGGACAGGGCGCCTACAGCGCCTCCTGTGCAGCAGTAATTCTTAGAGGCCGCCTTTTGCTGTCAGGAAGTTGCCTTTTTTTTTAATGCTGAACTGGGGATTGAACTCAGGCCCTTATGTTTGCCAGGGAAGTGCTTATTCCACTGAGCCATCTCCCAGGACCCTTCAGGAAGCTTTTGCTGTTCTTTCCCCATCAGATTCATCTGTCTTACTAACCTGTAACTTTGCTGACTCAAGGAAAATACATTCAGGTTCTCTCCTGATTCCTGTTAGGTATGGATAGTAAGGGAGTGAACATTCACCAGTAGGAAATAATAGGTATTCAGGGCTTTTTGTACCAGTAATCAAAGTCAGGAGCACTGTGCCTCCAAGCTAAATCCCCAGTGTTTAATAATTATTATTAGTAAATAATTACTAGTTTAATAATTAATAATTATTAGTAAATAGTTCACTTCCGTCTCGACCCATGATGCTAAGCCTCCATTTTCTCTTGACCTCCCCTCCTCTAACTACTGGTAACTAACATGTCAAACTTTGGAGGTGCATATACCTGTAATGCCAGGATTCTGGAGGCCAGGGCAAGAGGATCAAGAGTTTGAGGCTAGCCTGGGCAACATAATGAGACATGGCAAAAATAAAAAAAGTCAAACTAAGTGTTAGGAAAGAATAAAAATAAATGTTATGAGTAAGTTTCTTTAAAGCTTTTGCGATATTTATCTTTTATTAATTTAATGGGGCTAGTGAGGTGTTTTTTGTTGTGAGATTGTTTTTTCTTGTACAGCAGGTCCTGCTGGTGTGCATGCAGGGGCAAAGCCTTGGGGCATTTTGAGAGCACAGCACAATCCATGTGCTTGTCCAGCTGTGTCATTCTCATCTCCTCTGTGTTGACAAGTGCCATTTGATATTTTTTAACAGTTTAAGATTAGGTATGCAAGAGGACTTAGAGGAAATGCGACGAGAAGAAGAAGAAATGAAACGTCGAAAGGCCAAGAAGCTGAAGAGACGTTAGTTGCTGCTTTTATTTTTGTGAAATTCTGGGATCACTGCTGCAAGGACTTCCTGCCTTCAGACTGGATGAAATCCCCTTGTCCTTTTAGATTTATACTTGAGTACTCAAGGAGAGGGAATGTGTGCTGTCATTTGTAGGCTGTCCGTTGAGCAGGAAGTGTTTGCGAATACTGGAGGTGAAAGCTCTAGTGCAGGTGACGTAATGTCCACTGCGGCAGCTGGGAACTGCACTGTCCACAGATGCCAGCCTCGATCCTGATGAGCTATGCACTCTAACGGGCCACGCACCGGTCAGCCAGTCTTTTGTTGTTCCTTTGTTACTTTAAAAGGAAAAAAGAAAAAAGATTGTCTCTTGACTCATCCTTCTGCTGATGTGAGCGGGTCACCTCCCGCCTCCCAAGTTTAACTTCTTAATGAGAAAACTGGCCCTTTGATGAATGTTGCCCGCAATAAAGTGACCTGTGCTAATCTATATGTTGGATTACGAAATCTAAAATGTAGAGTATGCTTTAAATTATCACATGGATGTCATCCTTGTGGCTTTGAAGTATAAAATACAGTGAGAATACAGTTATTGTATTCTGCATTATTCCGGACTGGATGCTGAGCATTCCTGTTAATTTAAGTAATTAGGCAACTGAAAAGTCTTTTCCAAGTTAAAATACAAATTGTGCCAGTATACAAATATTCTAAGTTTTCCAATTTACTCTTATGTTGGCTTTAGTGTAAAACAGACAAGGTCACTGTGGTGATCTTAAAAAATAAATCATTTTTATATTAAAAAATAAATATTTTATTCAAATATTAGACTTAAAAGAATAATAGTGTAAAAGTAAGGACGTGACATGTGAGACTCCTCTCCACCTTCTTCCCAGTCACAAAGATATTTTGGAATCCCGTGGTGTCCCGTACCTCTTGATGTTAATGATTTTGCATTTGTGGCTTAAATTCCTTAGCAAATAGCAAAAAACCAAAAACTAAATTCGTGTGTATCAAGAGCACCCCTTCTCTTTTTTTCCCGTATTGCACTTTGATTTCAAACTATGCACTGTGAAGAGATTCTCACCTCCACCGTGGCAGAACAGGTGTTCACCTGCCGGTGTTTTTCTGGGCCGTGGAACTTTTTTCATTGTCACCCCTCTTTAACAACTTAGACGTGTGACTTAGACTCAGCTGAGCCTCCACTCTGAACAGGCTGGTCAGGCTGGCCACAGATCTGGCTTGGAGGAAGCCACGTGTCACAACAACAGGGCTGCCACGCTGTGTTGAGGCTATGGAGCATTTGTCCTTGACTGTTAAATGTGGCGCTTAGAGGTGGTCTGAATGAAGCTTATTAGGACAGTTCTGCAATAACTCTTCTGGTAGTTTAAGCCATTGGATGGGGAATAGGAATAAGGAGGGGTCGCCCCATAAAGAATCCTTACTGTTCAACAGGTCCTGGCATTTTTTTGTATATTCTTTTTTATAATAAAATATTTTTCAAATTTGGGAATCATAGATTACCATTGTTGGCCTTCTTTAATGGGACCATGTGACACAGTCCTTTAAAACTAAGTCATTTTAAATGGAGTTTCAAACTTTAAAAGTGCAAGGATTTAAAGCTGAAGCCTTTGTCCTGATTGATTAAAAAATTTAAATATTTCTACTCTTGATTTGATAAAGTTGACGTCCACAAAAGGTGTCTTCATTAGGAATAACACCCTAACTGTCCACATAGATCTGTGTCACTGGTATCAGAAATCCCCAACAGCTTCTCACCCATGTCCCATACCATCAGTGAGAAAAATTCAAGGGTAGTGTGATAGTCCATTTAATAGAGTAGTTTTGGAACATTCTTTTCTTTGCCATCAATTATGTGCCCCCACAGAAACCATTTTTGTTGGGTATATTTTTTTTCAATATTCAGACTCAAATTCCTTACACTCAAATCCTTATCAAAGCTGAAAGATTTCTGGTGGCTTATAAGTTTACTAGCTCTTTCTTTTTTTTATAAGTAGGAAGGAATTCCCTTCTCTCGATGTATTCTGAAGAAACTGCCGTATACCTGTTAGGATTTCCCTCAATTCATCCTGGTCATACTAGCTCTTGATACAGTGCAGTGATTTGTACAGAAGAGAACTTTTGCACTCAAGTTCCAGAGCTTGGCTGGAACAGTCAGGCTGAAATGTCTGTCACTTCTGAGGATATTTCTCATAACTGATGACATTAACATAATACAGGAACATTGTAGCATATGAAAAACGAAAAGGGAAAGAAAAACTGAGTTTACTTTTGGTCTTGTTTCCAAATCTTGTCTTCCATCTTGTTCTGTACTTCCTGACCACTCTTTTAAGAAAAACTCGCACACCTCTGAAGAAACTGGAATAGGCTGTTATTTTGTCAAAGTTTACAAATTAAGTGCTTGATTTTCAATGTATTCTCCATGTTTTGATTTTCAGCTTTTCTTAATATTTGAAGATGTGCCTTTTATTGGGTAATGTCAGTTCACGAATGTAGTAATGTGATTTCACCTTGTAATGTTACATGGCCGTGGGTGTGGCGTTCGCCCACAGTGACAGGGAAGGAAAGTAGTTTTCATAAAACTCGCAGCTCTGATTGCACAGTCCCACTTGCTTCTGAGGTTACCCTGTGGAAGCAAAGGGCGCTCTCTTTCAAAGCTACTTTGTGAACTTGTCTTTGTATTTTCTCTCAGCTCTAAATGCAGTTACGTCCTTTTGGAGGCCAGGGTACCACATGTCACAGGCGGCCTTACTTGTGTGCCACGAGGAAGTTCAAAGACTGTTAACAAGAATGAAAGTCATTGGGAAGTCAAAATTTCATTTTTTTTTTAATGGTAATCCCCAAGATTTTCTCCAAGAAAATAAATTGTTATTTTGTATTTTATAACTTAAAAGCAGCTATTAGTACATTTCTGAGATTATAGCAGGAGACCAAAACATTTTTGGAAAGAGAATAAATATATGAAGAGAGACTGGTGGTTTTATTTTCAGCGTGCTGAATATATTAGACTACTATTTATTTTAGTGGATGTGATGAAATAAATATTCAGGTGTTTAGTGTATAATTAAGAATGGAATATAGATTTCTTTGGAGTTATTAAATCCATTATGTCTTTTACGTAATGGACAAATCAAGTTTAAAAAAATACATAGCTTAGCTTGTTTTCTGGTGCTGTTGACCTGCAAGAGAATATACTTTTGCATATACAGTTGAATGTTTTACAATTTATGTATACGAAAAATTGTAGGCATTAAAAATATTTTATTGATATTTTTATTGGTTTGCGTTTATTGATTAAAACTTTGGGCTATTTCTTACCACCTTGAACATTTTCCCCAGTTGAAACCTCAGATGCATTGGACAGTGGAGTCTTGATTTATCTCCGTACACACTGCTCTTTCACCCCCCATGTTCTCTTCTTTCCAGCCTCTTCCATTGACCTCTGTCGTTATCCACTCCCAGCTTGGGGTGTCGTCCTCCTCTCAGACACACAGTTAAGAGAACTGTCTTAGAGCAGTCAAATCTTAAGTTTTGCGCCCCAGTTGGGAGGTGTGTTCAAATTGGAAGGAAGAAGCAGAGCTGCCCATAGTTCTTGTCGACATGAGTAGGTTCTGATCCCCTATAATAGCACAGATGCTGAAAAGAGTCTTGAGGGAGTGGGCAGGACAGCCAGAGCATGCAGACAGTGCCTAGCTAGCATGTTGAGTTTAGGTCTTAGGAGAAGTACAAGAGATGCGTAGGATCCTAGATCCAGAAATTGGAACCATTGTGTTTATGGCTTTTGAATTTTAATATCCTTTCCATAAAAAGGGTAATCCATTCACCAAATGAATTTATAAGCAGTTTAGCAGATACGTTTGAGATAACAAAATATTTTTTTTGTACCCTAAAAGGTCTGCTTTGCTGCAAAGGGTGCATTTCGCTTGAACAATGGAACAGAGTTATCCCCAAGTTCCCAGTCCCTGTGTGAAATCTCCAAACAGCCTTTAATGGACTAAGATCCTGGAGTTTAGACATCAGGATTTACTTGTGTGTCTTATATACTTAAAATTCCCATCCATGGTTTTATAAATCTGCTGAATTATATTGAAGTTTAAACAGTTACAGTAGCTTTTGTTTCTATATATACTTGTCTTTAAAAGTCATTAGACAACTTTACTTTTTAAATGAGGAAGACATTAAACCAGCAAAATTGCAGATAAAGTAAAAACCCAAGAAGCTGTATGTGGTGATATATGCCTGTAATCCCAGCACTTGTAGGCAGGAGGTTTGCAAGTTTGAGGCCAGTCTGGGCTACATAGCAAGACCCTGTGAATATATATATCAGGTATTCTATTCTGTTTGGACTCTTTTGCCTTGGCACAAAGCACATTAAAGGCCCATGTTTAAATCTTTTTTGAGACAAGGTCTCCTATAGTTCAGGCTGGCTTTGAACTCACTGTGTACCCCTGGCTGGCCTTGAACTTGCAGCAGTTCTCCTGCCTCAGCCCCCAGACATGGGCTACCCTGCCTAGGTTTTCTTTTCCTTTTTTTTTTTTTTT